CCAGGCTGCCAGGGCTCTCTCCAGGCTGCTCACCTGCATGCAGTGGTAGTGAGTGCTTTTCCCATTCAGGTGGCAGCCGTGGTAGTAGACGCTGCAGTCGTCCAGGGGGCTGAAGCGCATGAAGCCGTGCTGCAGGGAGTTATCTCGCTTCTTGTGCATGTTGTAATGGCGAATCACRTCCTGTTTACTGGTGAATCTCTGCAGATACAGACAGACACACGTGTGGTGCCAATGGTGAGTAATGCCGGGGCAGGGTGGGTTTCTTTTGTTGTTATTAATAAACTTATGGGAGCAACAGTTGAAAGCTTGGCAGTAATCACCCCAAGAGAATCAGCTGAAAGAGGAATTGTGTGCATGTCTCTTCTTGGTAAAGTAAAGTAAATATACATGAAAACTTCTAGATCAACATGGGGTGATATCCAGCATCTGCTCCCTGCAGCTTTAAGATTGCAGCTCTTCTAACATCATTTTAGCTGCTGCATCTCAAGAGGTGCTCCAGTAAAAAGCAAACCAGTGAACTGAACAGCCTACAAGCAAGTGATGCAAGCTTCCAAGCACTCCCTGCAGAGGTTCCAGGGCACTGACTGCCACATTCATGCCAGGCTGGAAATCGGGAAAAACCCTTTGCTCTTCTACACTGTCTTTGCATTCTGAGTCTCTTGAGTCCTGTGCAAGGTGGGATGGCTTCATTAGGAAAACACGGACTCAGAACTTCCTTCAAGTCACAGAAAAAGGTGGTGGTAAAGCTCAGAGCAAAATCTGTATGACCAGAACATCCTTTTCATCCTCTACCTGCCTGAAGCARTGAAGGGGTACCCCACTGTCAGAGCAGGCTAAGTGCCTTTAAAATGAAGCTTTTCATTTCTAATTCCCACAGACATCAATATTTAYCACTGAAGGTGAGAAAGTAAACCTAATTTTTTTAAAAAAGAAATCAATATCCATTTATTTTGAGCAGTAATTGAAAAGGCCTGTATTCTAATGTTTAACAACTTTTCTAGTCTGCCTCACAGGAAACAAATGATCATTGCTTCCACTCTTTCCTCCTATAATATCAATCCTGATCAATCTCACTGATATTGGCATGGGAATATATGGATATAGATTTCAACAGAAATCCCTTGGAGGCTGGAGGKATGATTTCCCAGGGCGTACATACAGGATTGCTATTGCCAATCATAGTTAATTTGTGCCCACTTATTACAGAGCGTTACTTATTCTAAAATATATCTCAGCCATAAAATAATTTGCATTTTAAAAAGCAGCCTAAATCCTTATTCCCAGCGAGACCAGGCAGCTCCTTTGCAAGCAGTTTCCAGACTCCTTAGGAAACAATCATGAGGCCAATCATAATAATAGGTTTTTCTGGTTTTCCATCCTTTGCGTGTCTCTCTTTCTGGTGCAGGGATATCTGTGTCACAGTTGGGACAGAGTGCTCCTGATCACTCGCTGCTGGGCTGGAAGSAGCAGAACACACATCCTGGAAAGGAATTCTCCTTTGATCAATAGAAAGCCACAGCCGAGCCCAGAGTGCACAACTTCCTCTGCTGCGGTCAGACCCATCCCCAGGGACCCAGGGCAGGACTGGAGCTGTGKCTGGGGCAGGGCAGAGGCAACTCAGGGATTCCCACTCCCGCATCAGCCTGACCACAGCAATGCCAGTGCCAAACTGGGAGCTGAGGGTAAACAAACACCGCACGTGAGCTGCCTGGATACCCTGGCAATGGTCCCAGCAATGACAGCATCCTCCTGCCCCCTTTGTGCCTTCACACAAATCCCACACTGCTGCTGCTCTTCCTGGCCTTTTGTTGTGCTGCAGAGTCACTGGGGCAGCAGGAGGGAAGGGACAGACTGACACATCAGCATTCCCAGCTCCAGGCACTGTKTGTAACACAGCACAGTTTATGCTTTTGGTTTCCCTGATGGARACGTGGAGCAGTCCCACTGACCTGAACTGATCTAAATTCTGCTCTTTGTTGTAGTGGTCCCAGTTTGGTTAAATGGTGTTAGATTGAATTAAATGAGAGGAAAACAGTTCTGTTAAATCCAGAACATATCCTGTCCTCTGCCAGAGCAGCCAAGTGAAAAGGCATGTGCATGGATGGGGAGGGAAGCACAGGAGGACACACACTCCCCCTGCATGTCCAGGAGCTGTGCTGGTCCATTTTGAGCATTTTTTACCTGGTAGTTGCACTCTGGGTCCAGGCAGTGGTAGTGCTCTCTGTACTGGTATGCACAGTGTATGTGCCCACAGTGCTGACTGCCAGAGAACCTAAAACAGGAGAGAGGAGAGACAGTGAACCCCTGTCCTGGCACCAGTGCCCCAAGCTACAAATAAACCAAGCCCCATTCCTTCATCTGACATGTCCATGGCATTAAACCCCACTCCTTTATCCCCTCCAAGGATGGTGACCCTCTCGCCTCCCCTTGTTTATTTGTCACTATTTAAAGGTGCTTCTTGAGCCGGATCACTCAGGTCTTGTACATCCCTAATCTGCCTTTCCTCTTGGAATTCATCTCTGTTATCTAAGTTGTTTACTTGGGGAAACATGGTAATGAAGGGTTCCTTGAACTAAACATCACACAATTCTAGAACAGAGTTTAGATACAACATCAGCAATTTTCAGAAACCTTCCATGACAGAAGAGAACAAATAAATGGTGGGAAATATGGATTCTAAATTTTAGGTATAAGCTCATCTAGTAGCATCTCAGAAAAGCTATGCACTGCAAATTTGAAAACTCCTGACACAGAGGGTGGCAAAAAAGACCAGAAAGACAGAAACACCACATAACACCTACATAGGAACAGTCTCAGTACACAGAATTTATTGAGTGACAGACACCAGGAATTGGCACGAGGGGATGATCCAGTAATGGGGTAATCAGTGCAATGAACTCCCTCGTGTATATTCTGGAGGAMCCCAGAAGAGCTTGAAAGGGGAAGGCAGGGGAGAGAAGGGGACTCAGAGGGGAAACATTCAAAGATAAAGTACCATCTGCTCAAAGGTTCCTCAAAGGTTCCTCACGTCACTAAAGTGCTAAACACAGCAGGAGTGCATATGATAAAGGGCAKGGGAAAGAAATGAGGAAGGGCAACAGATAAAAAGGGAAAATGAGAGGAGTGAAGGTGTCCTGGGGCAATCGAGGAATGGGGCAGAGCAGGGGAGATTATGGATCATGGGAAGGCAACGTGAGGCTACAGGACACAAAAGTCTGGTGAAAAGCAACACTAAAAAAAGCATTTCTGCAGCACAGTAAGGAAGAAGAGGTCAACTGTGGAGACAGCAGGGCCTCTAGGAGATGGAAAGGGGACTTAATTGACAGAAAAGATAGACATTGCTAAAAAATTAAATGACTTCTTTGCCTCAGCATTCACAAAGGGAGACAGGGACAGATGCCAGGAGCAGACATGCCTTTCCCTGGGGAAGGAGAAGAAATACTGCAGGAAATCAGGATCACGTCAGAACAGGTGATTGAGAAACTGGAACAAACCTCAGCAGCAGAGAAGAAACAAACCACAAGGCAAATAGCAGGGCTGGCTGCACAAACAAAGGTGTGGAACTGAGAGCAGRGAGAGATTCCTGCTCGATGCCCGGGCAACTGCCCGGCTTGCCCAGGGCACTGGCCAGGGCCACTGGGGCTCCAAGCACAGGAACCAACTGCTCCAGGCTTCATGGCAGCACCAGCAGCTCCTCAGGAAAGGAAACTGCTCTGTGCAAAGTTTCCTCCCTGTTCTACTGATCTGATGGGGAAAAGGAGCAAAGGGCTGAGGAAACTCTGCAGTGCAAGAGGCAGACAGAGATGCTGCTGACAAATRCAAAGCAGTACAAAATATTATCAAAAACAAGGATGCAAAGTTACCAAAGATCCCAACCGAGTAAAAGAAGGGCCAGACACCAAAGAGATCTGATTCTAGGAGATAGTTCATTGAAGCATTCTAGCAGGAATAAGGCACAGCTCAGTTTAAAAAACCAGCTAAACAAGCACTCCAGCACTTCCAACTCCTCCTCTCGTTTCCACATGCAGCAGCAAGATGTGTGTGGTGTCCACAGAGCAGGAAGGGAGAGAGAAGTGTTCCACCAAACGTGTGCTGGGTAAGGAGGGAAGGGGCAAACCCAGCACCAAGGGGAAATTCTGCTCCTTCACTGTGCAAGGCTGGGCTCCTAAAGGGTTATATTATCCTGKGTTTCTTCTGACACTTGAAACGGTTCAAAGCTATTAATTTTTAAAACATAGCATCTGTTTAGGTTTTTCATAACAGGAAAGCTTATACACCACACACTTCCACGCATACACACACACATTTACATGCACAGACTCCACAGCACATCAACACCCCCTGGATTTGCATGAACCTACCCACAATTTCCACAATTTCCACAAACACACACACTAAAACAGGAAAACTCACAGACCATCTCAGCACACTGATACACAAATCCAAACTCCTAAGCTGTCCATATAGGCACACAGATTCCTTTGCACAAGAACAACCCAGTCCCTCTTCCCTTACATTAATTGGTTCAATTTTTTTTTTTTTTGGCCAGGAAGAACTAGTCTTGATCTGGCAAGAGTTGATAAATAAATAATAATAAAAATAATAAATATAGAAGTCAGCATGCTTAGAGAGTGTTTACAGACTCATTACTCTGTAACGATGATGTGAAAGAAGAAAAAAAAAACCCACCCCAATTACAAGGGGGGAGGAAACCCACACAGAAATAAATATTTAAGCAAGTGCTGCCAGAAGCACCATCTGCTGAGGCACTAATAATAATAATAATAATAATTTTTTCTGTGGTCTTTTTTTTTTTGAAATTATAAATATACAGGGGGGAGGAGGGGGAAAAACAACCCAACCCAAACTAGCTAAGTAAGAGGTTTTGTTTTGTTGTGTGAGAGAATGGATTATCCCTGGGCAGCTTTTGGCAGTGGCTTTAGCAAACTCATTAAGCTAATTATGCCGTACAGACATAAGAGGGTTGTGCCTCTTCTCCCCCCACCCCTTGATTTTAAGGCTTTAAACTGTTTTTAAAAATGTGTATAAATGGAAGGGAAATGCTGTGCTGCCCATGGGGGGCTTGGGGAGGTTTTCCAGCAGGATGCAGAGCCCAGGGAGCTCACACAGCTCCTCAGGTASTGCCTGACCCAGGGGAAGAGTTTGTGGCTCAATGTTCACACAATTCCCTACTGGAGAGGGGAATGTGGGACAGAAAGTGCCACCTCCTCTCCCACTGCAACCTCTGCAATTCCTGCAATCTCAGAAATAAAACCATGCTGCTTCTTCTGCCCCATGCAAAGAGGGGTTTAAAACCCTTCCTATATTCTATRTACTCTGCTACCACGCTCTCCCTGATGCAGTCAATTCTCCAGCCTGGATTCTCAGAGGTGAGGAGCTCTCTGCTCACCCTCTGCAGGCTCTGGACATGGGAGGGGTAAAGGCAGTGGATAGAAAGAACAACAGGCAAGAAGCAGAACTCCCATTTAAAYCCTGGGCTTCTTCAGTGGAGCAATTTTCCACTATTTGTCACAAAGTGTACCAGCTCCAGGGAGCTCTTGGCATGGCCATCCCCTCTGACAGGGACTGCTCCCCCGAGCAGGGCACAGCAGTGCAGATGCCACAGAAATGCCAGTGCCAGTGCTTGGTTTAAACACTCGATCCAGACACGACCTCGTCTCTCCCACCACCACTCCAGCTCCTCACTTCCAGCCCTCTCCCCAGGAAAGTCCAGTGTTTTGCCTACCTGGCAATGTACTTCTGGTAAATATTTACGTCTTCGCTGACGGCTGGTTTGTCAGTGGGYAATCCATTCCTGTGAGAGACACACAGGGCAGAGCTGGTTAGCACAACAGGGCACAGCCTGAACTCCTTGTTTCCCTCACCCACTGCTGACAGATCAGGAGAGGGCCCAGGGAAGGGAACCAGCATGGATACCCATCAGTTTAAACTCCCTCCCCTTTGCCTYTCAAATCCTGAACCTTCTTTTTCAAAGGAAACACTCAGGCTGCCCACCACCCTTCCTGCACGTTTCCTTTTTGCAGGACTCAGTGCAGTTTGTTGGAGAAACGGAGAAGATCAACCACAATTTCTACAGAAAAAACCTAAAACCCCTGGACAAAGAAGGGATGGCCACAGGTGAACAAACCCCTCTGTGAGCTCCTGGCAATGCTGCCCTTGTGTGCAGGGAGCTCTGCCCTGGCTCAGCTGCAGGAGAAGAACTCTGTGCCAGACACGGAGTGTGTGCAGCTCCAGCCCAATTCCATGGCCAGGAGCCCCTGGGGGCTGTCACCAGCCCTGAACTGCAGCTCCACACACCAAACACAGCACGGGGCCAGCAGCAGGGTGTGTGTGATGGCAGAGTGAGGGACAGAAGGTTCTGGAATCACTACAAATCACCCCATGGGATTCACAGCTCACAGCAGCTTCAGGTCCACAGTGAGAAACAGGAAAATCCAAACCATGACAAGAAAGCAGAGAAACCTTTCCCTTCCTCCCCGCTGCAGCCTGACACACACATGGATCTCTCCTGCAGCTCCCACCTCTGGAAGGCACATTAAAATCCAATCCCAGGTTTGGCAAGRCCTTCAGATACCTCCATTGAGTCAGTGGCATTGCTGCAGAGACTGCTAGCAACGTGTGTGTAGGAGGTTATTAGTGGTAATTGGGCTAATGAGTTTGCCCAGTCTGAGGGGTAATTGAATCACCTCCATTTCTGTAAGCAAATTGAGAAGACACAGGCCTGGTCCCACTGAACTAGGTACAGGCCTAACTCCTATGAAAATTGATGGGAATTRGGCACCAAAATGTCTTCTGAATTCTGGGACAAACAAAAAGCCCCATCTTGCTTGTAAAGTCAGCAGAGTGAGGCCTTTGAGTTAAATGGAAACAAGAACCAGGTTCTCCTACACTCACATCTGGATGCCCAGGAAACCAGAGGAAGGAGAAAGTAAAGTTGTTCCAATTTTGCCCTTAGAGTGCTGACAGCACCATTTTCCCTCCTCTTTCATTTGAACTTATGAACTCAGGTGCWGTTGGACTCCAAGTTCATGGCTGTGACTGCTGATGGCAAATGACAGAGGTGTAACAGAGGAGCAAACACTTCAACAGAGAGCAAAGAGAACCATCCCATGAACAGTGTCCCATTTATCACCACGAGAACCTGGAAGTGCCCACTGAACCACGCAGGCTTCAGGCAGGAGCCCCACTAATGCAACGAGAGGAAAAGGGGGAGGACACTCACTTTACTGTGGAGACTGTTCCAGTTGTGATGGAGTCTGTCTTGGAGAAGGTTGATTTCAGGTACTCGGGAGTGTTGAATGGCAATGAGATGGTTTGTTCTGGGCCGGGCACGGGGGTGCTGCTGGGGGTGCTGCTGAGGGAGCCGGGGGCCAGGCTGGGGGCTGCAGCTTTCACTGGAGCCAGCTTCTGCATGTTCCTCACGTCGTACTTGGAAGGTCGGCCCACCTTGCCCGTCTTGAAGGCGATGGCTCCTCCCATGTCTGGGCTTCCTTCCCCAGGCTTGAAGAGGTGCAGGTACTTGACGTTCTCCAGGTCGTACTTGGAGGCCTTCTTGTAGGTGTTGCCATTTTGGGGCCTGATGCTCTCACCCGTCTTCAGCTTCTGGATGAAGAAGTCGTACTTGGAGGCCCGTGCCATCAGGCCCTGCATCTGGGAGCTGCTGGSGGAGGGCAGGGGCAGGATGGTGGCTTTGGTCTCCGTCAGCAGGGAGGACTCTGCCCCGGGCACCCGCACGGGCTGTGCCAGCACCGAGGAGGGCTCTTTGAGCAGTTTGGAGCCCAGCTCCTCGGGTTTGGCCAGGTGCACGGGCCACGAGAGCTGCTCCCCCGCCTTCAGCTTGCGGATGTACTCCTCGTACTTGGAGAAGCGGGCGCGTTTGCTGCCGGCGTCCTCGCCGGGGACGGGCCCCACGCTGGCCGTGGCCTCTGAGGTAGCGGCGTTGAGCTTGTCAAAGCTGATCTTGCGGGCCAGCTCGTCCCGCATGTTCTGCTCGTCGTAGCCAAACATGCCCAGGAACTCGTTCATGGTGGTGGCAGCGTAATCCTGCAGCGAGGAGGCTTCCCCTGCACACAACAGACACCACACTCACTCACACCAGGCACTGATTTCCCTTCTCCTCCCATACCAGCGACGGGGGGAGGAAGGGAGAGGGGAACATGATCTACAGACGTTTGGCTCACTTGTTAGGTTTTATGACTCTTAAATTAATTTGTTTTAAAAAAAAAGTAATTAATACTGGGGTAAAATAAAAAGAGTTCATCAATGCCAGGAAAATCAATTTCCTAAATGTTCTAGCCGATGGCTTTTCAGTACATTAAACAAAGTTTCATAAATGTCTCTGCACTCTTGCCTTGGCCTAATATGAAGAAAAAGTAATTTTACTGGAAGTGAGACCAATGCCAATATGCCGAGGTTTGTACAGATCTGTCCTTGTGTRTGTTTGTGTATGGCAGGAGGTGCACAGAGGATAGATGGCAGCATGTGTAAGGGGAAAAACCCATTTGGAAATGCTGTGTGTGCTGGTGAAGAGCAGGGCTGAGTGCRGGCAGGGCAGCACGGTGTGAAACAGATAAGGGAGAAGGGCAAGGCAATGCATGGGGTGGAGCAGGAGGAGGGCAGAGTAGAACAATGAGAGAGAAGGAAAGCAGCAGAGGTGGAGATGGATCGAGGCAGGGGAAGGGCAGCAAAGGCTCTGTGCATGAGCAGCTTGGCAGTGAGGAGAAAGCAAGACAAGGACAGGACAGTACCCCATCCCTCTTTGCAGTCCTTCCCTTCCCTTCCCTCCCCTCCCCTCCCCTGCTCCCTCGGGCAGTTTCACAGCCACCAGGATGGGAAGAACACACATCTGGAGGTCACCCAATATCAGTGTAAAGGAGGAAATAAAGACTGCTCTGACATGCAAGCTTGGACTCATTTAGGCTTCAGTCTGACACAGTGCTCCTCCTCCTCCTCCTCTCCCTCTTGCTTTCTTGTGCAGAGTAAAGATTTACTGTGTGCAGGAGTCCTTCAAACTTCCCTCATCACCTGTAGTGAACACTTGCTCTGGCTCTCATGGGCAAGAACACTCCTGCCCAGGCACACAGGGAGGCACAGAGCAGATGGGCAATCCTGGGCACGGGGTGCCACCCAAACAAAACCACACTGCCCTTAAACACAGCGGAAAGGAAGGCACCAAGACACAGACACAGAACAGGTCAGAGATCCCAAAGATCCCAGGATGAGGCACATATCAGATCAGCAGATCCCAAAGATCCCCAGGATGAGGCACAGAACAGGTCAGCAGACCCCAAAGATCCCAGGATGAGACACAGAACAGGTCAGCAGACCCCAAAGATGCCCAGGATGAGGCACAGAACAGGTCAGAGATCCCAAAGATGCCCAGGATGAGGCACAGAACAGGTCAGAGATCCCAAAGATGCCAGGATGAGGCACAGAACAGGTCAGAGATCCCAAAGATCCCAGGATGAGGTGGATCTGCCAGCAGTGCCACTGCTCACACAGGCAGCACGTCCACGAGAGCCTGGCAATGAGCACAGCCCAAGCTCAATTGCCACCAGCTCCCACAAATCAGCTCCCACAGGACTCTACGGAGGAAGAGACTGCCTGCAAGGGGCACTAAATGGGCAGGAGCATGAAGGTCACATTCCTGCTCCAGGATTGCCCGGAATAGCCGTGGTGCTGCAGCAGAAATGCTGCTGTGCTGTGTTGGTGGGTCTGGGGAAGGCAATGTGAGGAAATGCCTGAACCTGCAAAGCAAAGGACAGAGCCACACCTGCTGGGATCTGCTTCAGCCCAAAATGACCCTCCAGCTCCAGGCACCTAAGTCCAGCATTCTGCACGGGATTTGGGATGCCTGACTCCAGTCAGATGCACAATCCAAGCTGACAGGAAAGGGTGGGTGGTGGTTCAGAACATCTTTTGAGCTTTGTGAAGTCTGAGTTCAGGTTTCACTATCATGGATCTGGTCCCCAAACCCACCTTGAATTCTTTTGGTTCCAGACCCTCCCTGATCAAGAGCTTTGCCAGTGCTCGGTCTTTCCTCGCCCACGTTTGAGACAGAGCCCAGGCCAGTTCCAGTGCTCAGGGCAAGTGCAGCTTTAGTCATTCAGCCCAACAGGACCCMAACACATCCCCTCAAGTTCACAGAACCTGCACTGAATTGCTCAGGCACCCAACATGAACCAGAGAGGCTCTGGCCGTACAGAAGGGCTCACCACAAGGACAGATTACACTCACATCCACCTTCAGACAACTGTGAAGAAGTAATTAATATWACCTAATTGACAGAAAAGCCTCCTCATACCCACAAACAGACAAAACTGCAGCAGGACAACAGCTGGGAAGCACATTCCTGTCAGGAGTCCTGGAAGCCACGGGAAGCATTATCCCAGTGTTTTCCTCCCCCTTTCCTTCCCTGCACTGCATTTTTCTCTCCTTTCCTGTGTGATAATAAAGGGCTCCCTCTCCCCTTGCGGCTGCTCTCCATTTGTGGGCATTGCCAAAGAGCAGAGATCTGTGTGTCTCAGAGCAGCTATCATATCACAAAGGATCCGAAGCTAGCAAAAAAGGCACTAAAAATAGCCTGCAGCAGCACACTATATATGGAAGGAAAAGCAAAACAGCCCAAATGGAGTGCAAGGTCTGGATCCTGGGGGATGGGACATCCCAGCCAGGGCTCTGTCCTTTMTTCTGCTTGGGAGGGAAAGCACGTAGACTTGGGGGAYACAGGATGARGAGTGAGAAACTGGCACCTGGCATSTACATTCTCCCAAGTGGAGCCTCCCCAGGAAATTAGGAAGAGAAAGCCCTCCTGGCTGAAAACAGGGCCAATGAATATTCCAAGAGACTCAGCCAAGAATCTAAGAAAAGAAAGGCAGACCTGAGAGCTCGTACAGGGGGAAGCTCCTCCAGACTACTTTAGCCCACTGTGTAAGAGGCAAAGTAAAGAACATGTGTAGGAAAATCTCCCTGGGTATGTGTGCGTCAGTGAGCGATTGTGGAATAGGATCTGAGCCCGAGACTCAGAAACCTCACTGCTATATATAAATGTGCACAGGGAGCATGGGCCACTCCGTGGGCAGGAGAGGGTGCCTGAATGAATGAGGAAASATATCTGCACGTCCAGATCAGCTTGTGACAGCCACCTCCTGACAGACAGCAGCTCTGAGACCCTGAATGTGCTCCCCAGCTGCACCAGGGACGAGGCACAGGGCAAGACTGAGCCTCCAGTCCCGTTTTAACAAGGGGAGGCTCAAAAAGAAACTCCATCTTGTTTCAAAGCAAGAGGCTTAAATAGCATCAAGTGAGTCTGTGCGACCTTTGCCTGATGCACAAACCTGTCTGAGCCTGGGAGGACACAAAGGTGGCCAGGGTTTGGCAGCAGCCACAAGTGCTGCTGGTGAGGAACGGGCAGAGGAGGAAGCGCCATGAATGTGTGCACACACCAGGACAAGCAAAGCCCTTCTCATCCCCAAATAATTAGGATCACTTTTTCCACTGACCAGGAAAGCCTGCTAGATGGAGGATTTGGTTTTCTGTGCTCCTCCTGCTTTYCACACAAGATTCCAGCTGATCCAAGTATGGGCTCAGTTTGAAATGCTGCTCAGCCCTGCCAGCTCTGTACCCTCTGTTCCCACAGCAAGTGAGTGGTGCCCTTCAAAACAAGGTTCTGTGATGACTCCCCCAAAGCCACTTGGACTGGGCAGSCAGAGCTGTATTCCTGTCCTTTCACCTGACTCCTGCTACCCCCAACTCCCATGAAAATCCCTCCTTTTTGACAGAGGAAGCTCCAAACCTCACTGGAATAAATTCAGCTCACACCCAGTAACATCAGGGCTTGAGAGGTGTGGTGATGAACAGCTTAAAATTAATTTCCTCAACATAGACAGAAAAAGTGAAGGGAAGGAAAAAAAGCAAAGGAAAATAACTTTGTCCTTTCCAAAGCAAGGGATGTTTCTTGTGCTTTCAGGGAAATGGTGCAGATGACATTTGTAACAAGGTTCTTGAAGCAGACACTCGCACAAGGCAGCAGTCTGTTTGCAAGTCAAATCCCACGTGGCCCTAAATGTAAACTGGACCCCTTGTGTGCCATTACCTGCCTTAGATGTAAATGAAGCTTCACACCCCCCAACAGTTACCCACGATTGCATAATCCTGACAATACAGCCCTGCAAATGTATTTTACTGAAATCCCCAACCCCAATGAGAAACCTCAGCTCCTTTTCATTTCCCCAGTTTGGTAACTCTTTTTTTTACATTTAAGTTCCCCTCTTTTCAGTTTTCATAGCAAATAAAAACGGCAAATGGCAGGGTGGGGTGGAGTGGTGTGAATTAAAGCAAACTAAAAACAGAGTCCAGGCACAATCACCTTGTGTCTGGGAACGACAAGGGCTTTCCTATCAAAGGAAACTGAAGGTCACACTTTTCCTCATTGATCTTGCAATGTTTGTTAATTACTCTGTCACTGATGTGGCGAAGGATAATTAAACAGCTCTGTTTATATCTTATATGCATAATTATGTGCGCTGCCASTGAACTCGTGAAGACTGGAGAATGTGCCTCTCCAGAAGGGGAACGGACAGACGGAGATGAGTTCAGCTGCATTATTAACAGGAGGAGGAAAACACGCGCACAAAAGGAGGAAAGTTTGATGGATTCACAAAGTGCTGAGATCAGGGGAGGAGTGCGTGCAGGTGGAGCAGATTAGGGGAAGATMTTTCAATTACAGATCCAGCCCAGATGAGCCACAAAGGGGGAGGGAGCTGCTCTGCCCTAATGGAGAGAATTCAATTCACCCAAAGCTTTTACCAGGGCTTGGCACTCACACACCTCCAGATCAATCTGGGGGAAACCTGGGTATCAGAAAGGGAGCAAGAAAATCATCTGAGGCTTTCCCCAGAATCTCTTGTTGAACTCAGCTTTTGAACAAACCACAAAAATGAAGTTGAGGGAATCTGAAAATAGGAAATACAGAGYGTGTGGGAGAACACACGAGATGGTGAAACTGAGGTTTGGGAGCAGCATTTTCACCAGCTCTATCCTGAGCTCAGGGTGGGCACAGTTCGAGGGCTGGGCCCCTCATGAGGGGGGACAACACCATAAAAGTGTCACTTCAGCCCCTCGACCGGGCCCAGGGACCACACAGCAGCAATGGATCGATGTTTGGCATTGGGGGGCTCTGCAGGGGCTCTCTGGGACCATCTCAGCCCTGCCTGGCTCGGTTCATCCTCCCCCAGGCACCCTCCAGTCCAGTCCCACTCCCGAAGGAACACCCTGATGGCCTCTCCTTCCAGAACCTTGATCCCATCCCATCCCATCCCATCCCATCCCATCCCATCCCATCCCATCCCATCCCATCCCATCCCATGGATCCCATCCCATCCCATGGATCCCATGGATCCCATGGATCCCATGGATCCCATCCCATCCCATCCCATCCCATCCCATCCCATCCCATCCCATCCCATCCCATCCCATCCCATCCCATCCCATCCCATCCCATCCCATCCCATGGATCCCATCCCATCCCATGGATCCCATCCCATCCCATGGATCCCATCCCATGGATCCCATCCCATCCCATCCCATGCCATGGATCCCAGGGCAGTGGGTCCCCAGCTCTCACCTGAGGTGGTTCCTGTCCCCAGCCTGGCACCGGGCTCGCTGCTGGAGGGGCGGTAGGCATCGTCCCTGCCGGCCGGCCCGTCCGAGTCCCGCTCATCCACGAAGCTGTCGTCCTGCGGTGCCCTCAGCGCGTCTGCCTCGTCCCCGTTGTCCTCCTCGTCGCTGCAGCCCTTGGGCTGGACCATGTACACCCCTTCTGGGGGCAGCTCCGCGCTCTCGCTGCCCTTGCACTCCCTGCTCTCTGCTCGCCCCAGCAGGGGCTCCTCGTTGTACTCCCCGTTCACCCACTTCTCAATCACCTCCCTCCTCTTGTCSTCTTCGATCTTCTGCACGCGGCTGAGTCCATCGGAGAGCTCYGTGCCCGGCTCCCTGGTGCCCGCCTGGGGCAGCTCCTTGCTGCTGCTGTCCTGCTGTGGGCCCCTGTCCACGCGTCCCTGCTCGGCTCCCCCGTGGTCAAACACGACCTGGCGGCTCAGCTTGGCACAGATGGCGTTCAGCTTCAGGCCACCTTTGCGCTTGGCAGCCATTGCGGGTTTTCCTGAGGCTGCGTCAGTGCATAGAGTTCTTTCAGCTGGGGAGAGAGCAGAAAGCAGCGAGGAAGGGCATTAGTGGGGTCAGACAACTTGAACCCAAACAGCAAATGGCACTGGGCTTTCAGGCGTGGCCAGTGCCATCCCTGGAAAGGTGAAACTACCATCCTAAGCTCTAGTGGAAGCCCAGCCAGGAGAGCTCKGTGAGAGGCATTCCCTGAACCTGCCGGGACCAAAACACACCCCYGGCTACAAGAAAGAAGCACTTCTTTGTGCTGCAGCAGAACTCAGCTCAAAATGCCCCAAACATGCCAGGCAGGTGAGCACAGCACCAACCTCTGCTCCTGGATGAGGATTTGAGTCTGTGAACAGCCTGGAGTGCCCTCTCTTCAGACTCGCTGCACCCCCTGCTTCAGGTCCCCAGTTCTGTCCCACATGTGGTGGGTGCCAAAACCACACYGAGCAAATGCACCCGAGCATCTCCAGCAGGGACAACTTCCCAAACCTAACCCTGGGAACAGTGAGGAATTCACCTAACCCAGTTGGTGCACAGCGTAGAGAAGAGAAGCAGAGTGCACCTAAAGGAACCAGTGAGGAGCACAGGAGCCCTGGCAGTGCTGGAGCTGGAGAGTCACAGGGCTCTGGCAGAAAACTGCACCGGGTCGGCATCACCTCATCAGGCCCCTGTGCCTGCTTGCTCTCRCACAGGAAATTCTGCTCTCATACTTCCCAGCACAATCAGCTAATTAGTGTGAGTTTGTTATTTTAATGTAGTTTATTCATATGTGACAGCTAGTAAAGGAGGGGTGAGGAAGGTGGGGGTAGAGAGGAAGAAGGTAAGGTCTTAACTTCAAGGTCATGGAGAATCTTGAATTAAATGGTCCCTATCAGAGTCACTTGCATAATTATTACACCAACAATTAACAAGGTTCAATCCCAAATAAAAGCAGAAAACATTACTCCAAAGCAGCTGCAGTGTCTCATTTTCCTCTTTATTTGTGATACCCCTGAGARACACCCAGACCAAGCAGGGTTAAAGCTCAGAAAGCTGCAATGGGCACAGAGCCTGGCTCTTCCCCCAGAGCAGAGTGGATGAAGATCCTGCCCTGCATCCCAGGGCGCAYGAAGAGCACTCAATAAAACACTTGCTGGTCACACATACCACAGGAGTCACYGTGGGGACACTTCTGGCCCCTCCAAAATGGGCTCCTGGATTCCACATTGCGCTAAAGAGGGGCGAGTGGCACGGAGAGTGAACAGAACACGTCTCCAGACCTTAAATTCTGAGAATGGATTCCTGCACTGCACACGAGTCCCTCGCAGCAGCTCAACCCACATCTCCCTGTCACCAGCACAGAGGTGCTGCTGCTCCACAGAAGCACAGGGAGATTAATCAGACCCCCTACAATGCACCCAGAAGCCACCGTGACAGCCCCTAATCCTGTAACATGACAGCCCAATACAAACAGACTGAAACTTTAGACCTGCTCTCCAAGAGCCAGAGAGTGGCTGCTTAGCGTAAACTCCTGACAGCTTCAGACACGCTCCCCTGTCAAGGACTGTGAGAAAAATCACCCCCCGACAAATAGATCAGCCCCCCACACAAAGTGAGGCAAAATGCAGTCCTCCACTTTCCGAGCGCACCCCGGCACTAACACCTACATGTAATCATGCTTTCACAAAGGGAAAGCACATGATGGCCCCAAACAGCACCTCCCCATCTCGAAACGATGGCTGCTCAAGAGCTGTGTATGCGCKGGCACACTCTGTAAACACAGCTCTACATGTAGGGTTAAGAARTGCCATCTCCCCAAAATCCATTCCCGTGTCTCCCCCGTGCATTCCCCTTTCTCTCATTCCCCAGCACAGCCCCCAGCCCTCACACACACAAGGGTAGGCAGATGCCCGTGAAGCTGCAATCCTCTGTCTGCAGGTATCTTCCCTTCCAGTCCCACTCCCTCTGTTTAGGGCACCAAGGTATCTTCCCTTCCAGTCCCACTCTGTTTAGGGCACCAAGGGAAGGCCGATCCCATGGCCAGCAGCACAGAGGGAATCTCAGGAGGCGCTGGGAGCTCCAAGTGGAGCCTGGCCAGGACAGCGGCAGCTCCTGTGTGCTCAGGCCAAGGGGAGCGGGCACTGGGTCAGTGTGGATCAGCACCTCCTCCAGCMCTGCTGCTCATTCCTGCCCGTGCTCTCACCATCCCCAGCCCTGCTCTCCGGCTGAGATCAGCACTGCCTGCAGCTGCAGAGAACCGGGAGCAGACGCGGCAGCCCAAACCCTCGCTGYCCTCCCCCGTCCTGCCAGGAGGGCAGGTCCCATTATTCTGGTCTGGAGGTGAGCAGCCAAGTGTGTGCACCAGCTGGCAAATGAATATATAAATATTTATTCAAAGGAAAAGAGGAACAGACGTTCCCGAGGCTGCACTTGCCGCATGTGCAGCAGTTCCAGGGAGCCTGCAACTTGTCTTCCATTCCTGCTCTAACTCCTTCCATCTCACACACCTTGGCTTTGCCCCTCTACCTCCTCAGCTTCTGCTCCCTCCTGCCCTGCCCCTTGACATCCTTCCTTTCCCTTCTCCTTGTGTTTGGCATTTTTTCTCTTTAACATTTTGAGAATCTTTTCCTAAAGTTTAAGTTAAAAATAAAGCAAGTTCTGAAAACATACCRCTTCCATGATCTATAAAACTATCCCTCCCAGAGACCTCCCTGGAATGGGATTTGCTCTGAAATACCAGGGCTCCTGCATATCCCCATATCACTTATCTCATACAGGTGGAAATCCCAGCTTGTCCTGCCCACCTTGCAACCACCTCTCTCCAAGTCTGSACACATTMATTTATCTTTCCAATGCCTTASTTCCTTGTCTATGRAATGGGAGGAACATTAYCTCTATCAACACTTCTGTTCCCCTYTTTTAGGCYRTCAAGACCMTGAGCAGAATGAAACCCTTCTTACAGAGAAATGCTGAAGATGACTCTCAGGTTGCACCTGTGTTTCCTTCTCTCAGGCAGAGGGAGAGAAGCAGAGCTGCTGGATGAGAGATCTTCCTATCTGCGTACAGCTGGGACTGCAGACCCCAAAGCCAGGCAGAGACACCCTCCCTGCGAGCTGAGCTCCCCACCCCAAATCACCCAGATCTCCATCACACTGTTTAAAGATTCCAGCCTAAGTAAACATCCCCCTTCATTTTCTTCGTCTAAATAGAAATGTTTTGATTTCACATCAATCTGAGGAAGCCATTTATAACCTGAGCCTGTCACACGGACTTTTCATCTCTGCCCAGGACAAACTCTCCCACCAGCTCTATTTACACTGAGCACTTCCTCTGAAAACAATGCCACCGGGAGTTTACTCCGCTTTCCCCCGTCTCCACACCCTTCGAGGAGACAGCGGCTCTTCCCCCTCTGCACCCACTGCTGTGGTATCCTGACAGCAATCCCCCTTTCGAAGGAAAGGTGCAGCTTCCATCTCAAACCTGGGCTGGTCCTGACAGCAATCCCCTCTGAAGGTGCAGCTTCCATCCCCAACAGGGCTGGCACAGAGATGGGCAGAGCTCCCCTGGCCATTTCACTGCCTCGCCAGCCCCGGCTGCTGCCCCTGCTGTCCCCACCCCGCTCCATGTGCCACCAGCACCTCAAATTCAGCCCTGGCACCTCTCACCCCCCGACTCCACAGTGGGTGCTTGAAGCTGGGCACGGCACAGTCTGCCTCCCCCGAGGGATAATCGGGGCTGTGGAGGGCACACAGTGTGCAGGAACAAAAGGTTCTGCAGCCYGGACACAAACGGACCATCCCAGCCAAGGGGCAAATGCTACAAAGTCTGGCTTTGCAGGGAGAGGACAGAGCCCAAGCCTGGCTTTAGCTTGGGGTCAACGAAAACACACCTTGGGGAGAGGAGAAAAGGTCCCAGCTGGGCAAAGGGGGCATGTGGGGGCTGGATGGACCAGCTGGCATGGGTGGAGGGTAACAGAGGAGCTTTCTGCCATGGGAAGAGGAGGGTGCAGAGTGACCCTGGGGCAGGACAGCTCCTTTTGGGGGCACAGGGACGCTGGCTGGGGAGGGACAGCGCTGTCACTTCAGAGGGCYGGGTACCTCGAACAGATGGAGCTTTCATATTCCTATTGAAGAGTTTTAAGCCCAGCTGAGCAGCTCCGTTCAGGAGGGAGGTCCCAGTGCCAGCTTTCCAGGAGCTGCAAGCTCTCATTCGATTAATTATTAACAGCATTATTTGGGGCGGGGAGGGGGAGGAAAGCAAGGCTGACACACTGCACAGCCCTTTTCTTTTTTAACCACTGTGCTGCAAGCTTGACTGCAGAGAGTCCGGTGTGCCCAGCAGTGCCAGCAGGGCTCGCTGGGTGGGAGGTGAAGATGCCGCACACTGGAGCCTCTTCACCCTTGAGCTGCAGTCCCTTAAAGGGAGCCAAACCTGCACAGAAGGCCACTGGAGCATTGGGAGCGTGTTTCCCAGGAGCAATGCCCCGGTGCTGCCCAGCCAATGCTGGGAGGAGGCTGGGAAGACAGCCCAACACTCAGTCCCTACATGAAAACATTTTCTGTCCAGCATGCAACCCTGTGCATTACCCCAGGCAGGGCCAGGGCAGAACATCCCAGGCACGGCCCWCAATGTCTGAGAGTGGATTTAGTGTGTATTCTCCCCTCTCCAGTTTATCAATAAAACATTTTATTGCTTTCAGCCACGGAAATGACCTTGGATTAGTGGATGCTGTCTGTTCTGGCTGACCTTGGGGAGCTCACAAAGGCTCTTTCCCAACCTCCTGTGGCTGGAAGTGTGGATCCTGTGTGTGTGTGCCAGGAGAGGGGAAAGCCCTGCTGCAGACCTGACAGGCTCCAGCTCAGCACGGGCAGCCAGGAGAAGGAGAATCAAAGATGTGGGAGGAGAAACAAAGTGAGCAGCCAGAGAGTCCTTAGCCAGCGCTGCCGGGAGGGCTCTCCCCACACAGCCCTGCATGACCGGGAGCACAGCCTGGGGACTCTGGTGCCAGAGCACAGGCTGCCCGCAGCCCTCACTGCCTGCCTTCCC